AGTAGTTCGTGTACTGCTATGAGCACCAAATACAGATATCTGTCTGCCCAAGATGAAGTTACAGGAAATGTAGTCTAAGTCCTAGAAGAGACCAAAACTACAGCAAGTAGTAAGGTGGTGAATCTTAAAGAGATTTTCACTGGATATTCAGTTGTTAATGTTTAGTAGTGGAAAATAACAACAAATTTCTGTCTTTGTATCAAACACTGCTCATCCAAACCACCATAGAATATTAAACTGAATAAAAAAAGGGAGAAGATTTTTAGAAGCATTACAGTCATTTTAGAAGCTACAGGAAGGAAGTACTTTTGCTGCTTCAAATTGATGACACCCATTTCAAGTCCTGTAAAGAGATTAGTTTTTAGCAGCCTATGGCAATGATAAGTAAACCATATGTTTCTTAGAATTTGAAATCTGTACACTGTGAACAAGTAATTTATTACAAAGGTGAGATAATGTTGTGCTGAACAGACATGCTGTCTGAAGTATGAGATTTTTCTGGAGGTTGACACAGCAGGATAGCTTTCTCGGCAGTCCTTTGCATTTTTAAGCAGGTTATTTAAGTATCAACTGACATTCCTTTTAAACATTTTAGGTAGGGGACATTAGCTTTTACCAATCCATAAAGTACTAAGACCATATACAAGGATATATAAGTACAAAATACATGGTAGTTCCTCAAGTTCCACACTAATAGAATGTAATGTGATAAGATGATCACAATACTATCTATATCTCAGGATTAAGCATGGTGGTCCACAAACCAGAAATATAACTCATACTGGTAGGGTTACTGAGAATTATGATACTCTCTACCTGCAAAAGTAAGCATTCAAAAGCCAATGTTGCCTATATCTGTGGTGTTAGTGTAGATGTCATCTACCCCAGCTCTGAATGGAAATAGTGATAATTTTACAGAGTAACAACACGTGGGAAACATTAACAGATACAGTCTATTTGAGGGCCTCAATACCTGCTTCTCAGGGCAGAAAGCCTTCTTGTAGTACAAGGTGATAATGTCACACTGTAGCATCTTCACAGAGCACTGTGAGGGGAGGGTGCAGTATCACACACTGCCTTAGTGTCAGGATTTGTAGGGTTAAACTGGAGACTTTTTCACAAGCCTGTCATCTGTCCAGGGATAATCATTGCTCTCAGGGAGCTGCTGGCTCAGATCTAAACTCTTGCCTTTTGTGATGAACTTTTTCAGGTCTTCCAAGTGTTTCCTTTCAGTTATTGAATTAGTTGTCTACAGCCTACTTAGGCTGCTTCAAATTTTTGTTGTTATGTGCTGATTGCTATTAATATCTTAAGAGTACTTCAGCCCATTGTTTAGACGGCATAGTCCCTACCAAGCAGATCATATACTGTCAAGTCCAACAGATTTCAGCAAAGGCCTAAATCTTTGTTGTGCCAGTCCCCATCAAGAAAGAGGTGTAACAGCTCCAGCCAACTGGGAGTTCAGGCAGCCCTGTGGCTGCGTCACTGCGGGTAGGAAACCCCCGGGAAAACAGAGCCCAGAGCAGAAGTGAAGGCTGTGAGCTGGAGGCGTGCGAGTGTCCTGCAGTGGCTGGGCACGGGCATGGCAGGGTGCAGGAGCACCAGCGCAGGAGCAGCAGGCGCCTCTACCCACTCCCAGCCTCAGCATATCATCCCCATGCAGGGTGACACCACCCTGAGGCATCTTGGGTGGGGAAGATGCCCTTTCTCTCTGCTGGATCTTGTCCCAAGTCTAGCTCCTGTGCCCCTGCTTGGCTCAGCAGGTGGCTGACCCAAAAGCCATGGGCATGCAGGAGAGGGAGATGGGCAGGGCTGGCACCTTGTCAGAGAGCGAGTCACTGGGGAGCTACAGGGCAAAGGCATTTGCGCCTGCCAGTTGTGCTAAGGGGGGAGCTTAAGGAGGAAAAGGAGCTGCTGGGGAAGACAACGCCAAACATGACTTTCAAGGAATGTGGCTGCAGGCAGTCGTCCTGGGGAAATTCGAACATTTGCAGAGATGGCAGACCTGGGTGCGGCACACCCACCTCTGGCATGTGCAGCTCCTGCTGCAGCTGGACGTGTGTCTTGGAAGATCAACTGTGCTGGAGCTGCCAGCACTCAGGAGGAAAACAAACCAGTCTGCAGAGTATATGACACAACTTGGTCTGAAAGGCACAGGAGATTTCAGATATATGAGACACAACAGATCTTCAAAATAATTTGCTTTGTGCTCCTGCTCCTGCCAAAGCAGGTTTGTGCTAGGTGTTGTGTAATGAGTCCTGTTAGCTACGCCCACATCAGCCAGAAATCTCAGAGTAGTGGGGGAATTATTATTATTTGCTCTGTTCATTTAGCACACCATCCCCTTTGCATTGTCTGAGTAATGTACGGTGAACAAAGCCCATAAATTAGATCTCTTCCATCTTTTTGTAGGAGTATGATGGACTGATAGATTCATGGAATGTAAACCATTTTGTCCAGTCAAAAAGTACAGGATTCACCAAAGTAAAGATGTTTCTTAAATACTACCCTTAGGCTTAGGTGTTTTTTTGTGGAACACACACAAAAAACCCACACAGAACTAGCTAGAGAAGATGTAATTGCCATTAATGGTACAATGACCATCTGCTGTTCCATTGTATCTTCAAGACAATTTTTAAAGTCATAAATTAAGTCATTGTGTATTATAGTGGGGGTCATTTTCCTCACTGTGTCCATGGGGCTTATATTGCTGGGGATCATTATCTTGCAGTAACAGAATGAGAGCCTTTGGCAGCCTCTCACAGATGCACAAAGACAGTGTCAGTAATTCTGTGCAGCTCTGTACCATTTACAGAAATGCAATTTATGTATGCAAAATTCTTTGAGGGTCAAACCTTTCCAATGACAATATTAATCTAGTGCTTTGTAAATGTTATTTAATCTTCATAACAGTGTTTGGATGTGGTATGGTTATTTCCATTGGAATGGCCTTGGATATTATGTATTCTAATACATGTAGACCTGGATTATGCATACAGACCATGTTTATTAGAAAGAAAACATTTCTCACTGCAATGAGTGAGAAATGTTTTGAAATCTGTTTCTTTCTTAGGCAGTAGATGCTTTTATAGTATAATTATTTCATTTCTGAACTTGGTGTATTAATCTTTTTTCCAACCACTCCTCAGCAAACTGATGAGCTAGAAACTGCAAAAGCCTTCAGAGTGGAACTTCAGCATCAGTGGTAGAAGAGTCAGGAAAACAGCAGAGATTCCCAAAAGCGTCAGAAAAAGTCCCCTTCTATCTTCTTAAAATATTAGTACACAATTTCTCAGACTTGTCCAGGCATTTACCCATCAAGCTATGTCTGAAAAGATTTGTTCATTGGCCGTACTCTAAATGACCCATTTGTCTTTTCCAAAGTTTCCCAGTGGCGGAACTGCCTCTCCTAGATGTTTAGGTTTTTGTGGAGAGAGGCAGCTCTCCGAAGATGCAAATATGGCCACTCACGCACAGGGTTCCCATGACTGCGGAGGCTGATAATCTTAGAGGGAGCTGTCTAGTCCCCATCACACACTCCCGGGGCTCCAGCATCTTCCCATGCTTTAGCTGGAAAATTCCAGCATGCTGACCTGGCACTGACTCCTCGCTGTGAAAACACAATGGGATCCGTTCTCCCATCATGGACAAGTTATGCACAGAAAAGCCCTGTTGACTGAAAGGAGAATAGACCCCTTCAGCCTTAGCATGACAAGAGTCCTTTGAATGCTTACAGCATTTTTCAGTGAACTGTGTTGAGGATGGAGAGCACTTCCTCCCTTCCCCCTCCTTTGCTCCTTCCCCCTTGCACAAATCCATAGCAGCATACTTAGCACCTCTCATCTATATAAGGCTTTCAAAAATCACCTTCAGTCTTTTCAATCAGTTTCCTCTCTCCATAACTTGGTTAGGGACACACTTTTTATTTTAATGCAACTGGCATTGATGGTTCTGCCCACCTGCCCCATCCAAGTCTGCTGTTGCACAGTGGCTTTGATGAAATGATAGATGAGGTGCTCTGGGATCATCTATTCAACATTAATAGATATGCCAGAGACAACATGGGTAGAGTTACTCTGAGTCAGAATCTATGAAAAGTGCAGACAAAAGATGTAATTCCAGACTAACAATTCAGTGAGACCCTGTGATTGCCAACAAGTCAAGTGACATCCATCTCACACATAACTGGCATGATAATGATTCAGATAATTACTAATTTTCATCTACACTATTGCCTTCTGTAACCTTTAGATGTTATATTATTTAGATACAATACCAATAACACCACAGCAAACCAAGCCAACCAGTAACACCACCACCAAAAACAAACAAACAAAAAACCAACCTGACATGTTACTCTTCTCTCTAGCTCCTTCCTTCTTCCAGAAAAACCCAAATAAAGCAGCTGGTTTTGAAGATGAATGAAATTGGACTGACTTAAGGTGGAGACAAGAATTGCAGATTTGAATTCTTGCCCTGGGATTCCCTGAATTTCTAATCCCAGCCCCTGTAAAATCAGATGTTTTATCTGAAGGGCAGAAACAACCATGTAATAGTTTAAAAAAAGGTTTGATCTAGAGGTCCCTGAAGCAGCTGGAAGTTCCCATATTGTCTTCAGTGACTTTGGATCCAAGCTCTAAGAAAGTATTAAGTGTAGAAATTTTATTTTTTGTAAAGGCAGATAGTAATCTTATAAATTTAAATAATATTTGGACAACTCATTTGGATCACTTCTGGTAATGGATTGGTTCTTAGTCAACCAGTAATATATTCATAAGAATAAAGTAGTAATCTGTGGTTTATTCTTTGAAAGACTCAGAGACAGTAGGATGGGAGCATAAGTTTTGTTTTAAATTTGATAACAACTTAGGTAAAATATCTTGTTTGGGTTTTTTTGTAATGTTGTGAAAAAAAAAAAAAGTTGTATAATGTAATCATTTAGTGTTTATTTTATTATGTGTACCTTCTACTCAGAGGGTTGGCATTATTGTTCCTAACAGTGATGGATACAAGCAGATCATGCCCTATGACCTCTACCATCCCCTTCCTCGGTACGTAAAACAGTCAAACAGATGCTAGGATTAACAAATACATTTACTTCTTTTTTTCTCTTCTCTGCATTTCTGCTTTGCTCTAAAACTAAGTTAACAGATGTTGCTTTTCTCTTGCTCTGAACTTCCGCAGATTAACCTAGAGATGTTCAAGTGCTCACCTGTTGTTATAAATTCTGTTGATGTAGAACTGAAATGATATCCTAGCTGAAGCAGCAATGCAGACTTATTAAGTGTGTGGTCCCTTTCTTTCTCTGTTTCCTCACACCCCACTCCCACCGCCCCTTTGCTCTCACATCCTTACTTTTTCTTCCCTTATTAATCTCTGAACAGGACTATAACCTGTGGCATTGTAATGTACCATCAGACTTTCTGTCTCTCTCTGGCAGTGCTGCTTCCTAAGCGCTTATAAATTGTGAGATTTTGATTTAGACAGTATTAGTGTTGTGTTCTCATCCTCCAAACCCATGCTAATGCCTTCCCCAGGGGCATTAATACATTGGCTTTTCTAATAAATCAGAGATTGGAGCAAGAATAGGATCAAGTCCTGATTTGTATTATTAATTATGTCACAATTAAAATATCTTTAATGTAAGACTTGAGATTCTCATGGAAATAATCACAAGTAGTTACTCTTAAAGCAATGAATAAGACTGGTGTTGATAAAAATGTTTGGTAGCTGAAGAATAATAACCTTTTGGTTTTGAAATACTGCCTGGACATGCAATAGTATTGTGCTGTGTTTCCTTCTTCATTAATTTATTGTGTCATGGAGTATGAAATCACAGAAAGAATCCCTTAGGCAACTTGTTAGTCTCATCCTGGTGAGGAAACGACCTCCCTCAAACGATAATGAGGCCTAATGTAGAAAGCTTTCAGCATCAGTGTACAACCGCAGTGCATTAACATTCAACAGAGTCTCCAGCCAAATCATGGACCCACCCCAAACTCTGAGTAAGAAGACAAGGAAGAGAGCAGCTTGCATGCCAAGCTCTGAGGCTGCCATTCATGTTGACACCTTTTATCAATGATCTGATCAATTGAATTAGGTTTTTCTCTTCCTAGCTAAGTGTTTATGATTATGTACACACAGTCATTATCACCAAATATTCGTGAGATACACTTAAAAAATATATCCCTGCGTCTAATTCCTTTTTTCTGGAAAATGGTTTTCTCTGTTCTTTATTTAAAAAAGAAAATATATACATACCTCCTAGCGTCAACAATTAAACCTCTGTTAGTAAGGAATATAGAAGCTAGAACATTAATACAGGGTTTAACACTCTAGCTTTGAATAAAACAGATTTTATTTCAATTGTGTACAAAGGGTATGTACATTGACAGAACATGGAGAACAATTTTATATCAGAGGATGATTCAGCAGTACTTAACAGTGGAGGGACTGTATTTAAGGAAAAAACATTCTGAGCTGGCAGTTAGGCAGAAGTTTTTTTACTGCTGAAGAAAATCCAAAATAAAGGATCAAAATGTCATGAGGTATTTGGCTTTCAGTAACACTGAAAGCAAAAAAAAAAAAAAAAGAAAACCATTCCCTGAAAATGATCAAAAGGCTGAGACTGTTTCTCAAGCTGTTCTGGATTATAGTCTCACCCGTAACAGTCCCTTTACATCCACTGTCCCAGCCACACTATTCTCCTTTAACTGCCCCCAGGGGTTGCTCAGGCTGCAATTGCTGGCTGGGACCTCTGCCCCCCTTTTTCCCTGTGCTGTTTCACTGCTGCTTCTCCTCTTCTCCCTCTTCCCCACTACAACATGTGCTCCCATGAACCCACGAACATGGCTCATGTCTTCCTCCCTTGCCCCAAGAGGGAAAACCCAGCCACTTGTCTCTTCTCCAAACCTCAGAGGCAGCAGAAACTGAACAGACCACGAGGCTGGCATGAAACAGGGTCAAGTCAGGGGGTTAAAAAATGTCTTTCCTCTGAACCTGCAGAGTTTAGGAAAAAATCCAAATAAACAAACAAACAAAACAAACAAACAAAAAAACTCCAACCAAACAAGTGAGGCCCTGGTTGCTTTACCTGAGACTGGCACCTAATACCAGGGACAGAGGAGAGCAACAAACACTCCAGGAGAAATGGAGAGCAAATCTGGGAAGACATTTTTGCTAGATTTCCCTACTGCAATCCCTCAGCTTTGAATTGTATAATGAAGAGGATATAGTGCTTAGTTTTAATGCACTACCAATTCCTTCCACAAATTCTCGGTCAAGGTTGCACCCTTTGTACCTCAAAAGGAACTGTGACACCTGCTTTAAGAGCTGTGCAACAAAGTTCACTCTCCTGTCTTACACTCATACAAAGCCTCAGGACCAAACTGCTTGCCTAGATTTAAGCTGCTTGGTATTGCTGAAGTTGCCTAAGGGCATCTGGAAACTTGTACCAAAGACTCCAGGGAATTCCCTGGTGCCACATCACTTTTATGCCTGGGAAAAGCTGGCTCAGGCTGGCTGCAGCAGTTTCTCCTGTTCATGAGTTTCAGCTTGAGGCCTTTTCATTCAGATATGTAATAGTGAGAAATCTTCGCTATATGCGGGGAAACTTGTTCAGCAGAGTCACAGGTAACACATTTGAACTAAAAACATTGCTAAAATTGCCCACTCGTGATGTATATGGCTTATGCTGAGTACATGACAATGGATATGGCATGGTGTAAACATTGTTTCACCACTTCTTAGTGATAAGTCATAGAATTAATCAGTGGCTTTACCATTCATAAACAGCTATTAACATAAGCCATTTCACATTGAGTTTTATGACACTTTCAGCCAGGAGACAATGTGGGTAGTGCTTACCTCTACTGGAGCTGATGAGAAAAAGATGGGTTGATATGACAAAAAATCAGAAGGAAAGATAAGCATTTTTCATCTTGTTTAACAATCCTGGTGAATTTGTAATTGTTACTTAATAAATAAAATTCCCTTGTTTTAAGTGGGAAAAAAAAATCCTCACCTTTCACTTTTTCCCCTTCTTCCCTGAAAGAGGAAACAGGTGGGTTTTTTTCTGTAAAAACAATTTTTTTAAGTCAAAAAATGGATACTTATGGCCAAAATCATTGTTTCAAACATTATTTCTAATGTCTTTATCAAAAGGACATTTGCCTTTGGGGGGGGGGGGGGGGGAAGATTTTGTGAAATACTTCCAGGTAGATAGAACACGCACGCATATGTACACATATAAAACAATATAGGCATTATCATATATGCATCACTGTAAAAAAAGGATTATTCTCATAAGGATGCATAACTTTTCAGAACATACACATTGTTCTGTGGATTTGTCATTACATTCTCAACAGGCACCTGTAGAGAAAAGATGGTTTCTCAGTTTCTCTCACTGCCTCAACTGTAAGGAAACAAGGCCTATGTAGTTTATCCACCAGAGGCCACATATCCTATCAGTGCATTTGTGTCTTCTTTTTGGTAATTTCTTCCCATCTTCTTTTTTTACCTCAGCTCACTTCTTTCCCTGGAAAGAAACACTGCTGTTTCCCAGTATGTTCTTGCAAAAGGAACATCAGCTTCAAAGCACACTGAGCTTCCAGTGATTTGTGACAAAGATTCCTCAGAACATGACAAACTGTGAAGATATGATAATCCCATCAATTAAATAAAAGGAATTAAGTCAAAAGTATTTAGAGTTTCTGTGGTAGTAGTCATTGGGCTAGTGGGACAGAGGACATTTCATATTACTAATCTGTGACTTAAGACAGCCATGAGAGTTCTTTGCTGCTATGGCCATTTATGAAAATACATATGAGATTAATTTTTACTGACATTACTCAGAAAAAAGCCCTCCTGCAGGTAGCAGTTTATGCATTTGAGGGGTATAAGTGGGGATGGGGGCAGCAGGGGTTCCTTTTCCTGATGCCTCTCTGGTTTGTTTTTTTTTTCCCCAGATGGGAAAGTACACCCTGGACTGCCTGTTCCTCATCCTGTGGAGGGGGCATTCAAAGCCGCAGCATCTCATGTGTGGAAGAAGACATTCAGGGGCATATCAGCCCCGTGGAAGAATGGAAATGCATGTATACTCCAAAGATGCCTGTTGTCCAGCCTTGCAATATATTTGACTGCCCAAAGTGGCTTGCTCAGGAATGGTCTCCGGTAATCAGCTTAGCTGTGTTGGTTTTGGATTTACCACACTAGGAATACATATTAAATTATAGTTTAGTGAGCTTGTGGAAGTAGGACCATTCACTACTTTCTTTCCTTACTACCGTGACCTCTGTTTTAAAGTTATGCTATTTGTCTAACTGCAAAGTACATACTCAGGAATAATGTATTAATAAGATTAACATGATTAAGGAGAATGGTGGAAAAATAAATCAGATCTGTAATGTTAATTAGTGACCTTCTACTAATAATAGACTGGGAACGTAAATGAAATGCACAAAACAAAACCAGTAAACATGTAATGGTGTATCCTTATTACAACTTTGTAGCCATGAATTGAATATAATGAATTGGTGAGAAATTTCCAGAAATACATAAAGCCATAAATGACTCTGATCTTCAATGCTTGTAGTTGTCTGTTCCTGACTTTCCTTCTGTATGAAAGTAAATGTCTTTGAATGTCTTTCTACATAAGTAGAAAAGTACTTTGACTTTGTACATAAAGACTTAATCTTGAATGTATGTTCTCACCACACCAGTTTCTCAGTAAGCAAAATGGGTTTTAGAAGCTAAGCTAACTCATCCACAGGTGAGGTGTTCTTGACTGATTGCAAAGTGTTTAGTGATTTCCAGATGAAAGCTGATACCCAAGAGCAAAGTAATATTGGTAGTATCCACAGCCCTCCCCACTGGCTGGTAGTTTTGATCCTCTCATGTGCAACCACTTCTGAAACAATCTGTACGGGGGAAAAATTGATGTACTTTACCAAAAATAAATGAAAAAAGACTTAAGAAAGTGTCTGAGGGAAGAAAGCCCAAACAGTTTCCCATTCTGTCTGGTGCCATATTCCAAAATAGCTGAGTGTTACCCCTGTTAACCCATAAGCCATAGTACTTTGTCCAAGCAAAGCAGAGTGGCTCCAGATGAAACTGACAGGGTGTTACTGAGCATATCCAATATGGGACAGATGGCCACAAACCAAGCAGCCAATGCTGAGAGAGTGAACTGTAAGAGAAATCCAGCAGCAAAATGTCCAAACCAAGTAAATGTGCAGAGCAAAAAGGCAAAAATTTCTGTCAATTTTATACCTTATCCATAACTACCAAATATTATGAATAATTTACATTCAGGGTTGCATGTTTCTGCATCATGTTTTCCTCTCTGATGTACACATACTTCTATTGCATAGTCTCCTTTTATTTATCACTCCTGTGACGTATCACACACACCTTGTTTTTTCCTTTTTTTTCCCCAGTGCACTGTGACTTGTGGACAAGGACTCAGATACCGTGTGGTCCTTTGCATTGATCATAGGGGGATGCATACAGGAGGCTGTAGTCCTAAAACAAAGCCACACATAAAAGAAGAATGCATCATACCCACTCCTTGCTACAAACCCAAAGGTAAAGAAGCAGAAGGATTCTCATAAATTTTTCAGAGCTCTTCCATGTTGAGCAGTTTTGTTTTGTTGCTGGTAGCACTGTTTCCACCTGTACTGAGTTCTGAATTTGCACCTTTAAGGTCTGCCCTTCTTATTCCAGTCTGCCTGCTAGCAACTTGGAGTGAATGCTGTCCCCTTCCTCTTTTTCACAAGCTTTGGGGTTTTCACTGTTAATTTGTGATCCAGCAGACCAAGCAATATAAATGTAAATCTGAGCATAGTGTAAGCAGGTTTGACCTCACTGATTGTGTCTGGGCCGAATTTGCCCTGTATTTTAAAAGGAATTAAATGTATAAATAACATCCATGGTAGATAAATGTAACCATAATTTTAAAGTGCCTGTTCATAACTTGGAGCTTGAAATAGGTCAGAAGCAAGCATTGTATATTCCAACATGAAGTTCCTCTTCCTAGAAAGACTGCAAAATTTGGCAGACTATTAGAGTTGAATCATCTCATGGCAAGGAGTACTCACAATTTGTATAGAAATGCTTCTTAGGCCTTAGAAAGAGAGTAATACTGGGGTAAATCCCCCACATTTTGTTGAGAGAAGGAGAAAATATTTCTGCAGCTGGTTGGAGGTTCTTATGGGGTGGGTATGTTAGAAAAAGTCCTGAAGACTGGATTCGATTAATGGGCAGTGGCCAGGTGCAGCAGACATGGGTATTTGACCATTTCCACTAGTATATGACCACGCATGTGTTTGTGCATATATACAGTTATATCAATACAACCTCTGTGTCTGTATGCTGACTAACTTATGGAAACTTCTGGGCTACAGCAAAGCAGGTGATCTTAATTTCCCTAAACTGGAGACTTAAACCACCCCATAAGAAGAAATCAATTCCTTTCAAAATATGAATTGCTATCCTGACACATGCTAAGAACATTTATTATGAAGCACTTCACAGTGAGTGATCTGTGACCTTGTGCTGATGCAAGATGGAGCAGTGAAATTTGGAGTTTTAATTCCTGTATGCAGTGGCCGATTATCATAGATTAGAATCATAGAATCATAGAATCGTTTAGGTTGGAATCATAGAATCATAGAATGCTTTGGGTTGGAACGGACCTTTAGAGGTTATCTAGTCCAACCCCCCTGCAGTGAGCAGGGACAGCTTTAACTACATCAGGTTGCTCAGAGCCCCATCCAACCTGACCTGGAATGTTGCCAGGGATGGGGCCTCTACCACCTCTCTGGGCAACCTGTTCCAGTGCTTGACTACCCTCATTGTAAAAAATTTCTTTCTTATATCCAGCCTAAATCTATTCTTCTTTAGTTTAAATCCACTATTCCTTGTCCTGTCACAACAGGCCTTATTAAAAAGATTCTCCTCATCTTTCCTGTAGGCCCCCTTTAAGTACTGGAAGGTCACAATAAGGTCTCCTCGCAGCCTTCTCTTCTATAGGCTGAACAATCCCAACTCTGTCAGCCTGTTCTTGCAGGAGAGGTGCTCCAGCCCTCGGATCATTTTTGTGGCCCTCTTCTGTACCCGCTCCAGCAGGTCCATGTCCTTCTTGTGCTGAGGGCCCCAGGGAAAAGATCCCCAAAGGAAAAGACCTTTAAGATCATCCAGTCCAATCATCAACCCAACACCACCAAGTACACCAACAGACCAGTTAAGGGTAGACTACCAATTTCATGTTTCCTGGCTTGGTGGCTGGGTTACATATAATGAAACTAAAAACTAGGAATCATTAAGATTGGAAAAGACCTCTAAGGTCATCATTCCAATCATCAGACCAACACCCCCATGCCCACTAAACCATGTCCCAAAGTGCCACATCTATCTGTTTTTTAAACACTTCCAGGGATGGTGACTCCACCACCTCTCTGGGCAGCCTGTTCCAATGCTTGACCACTCTTTCTGTGAAGAAATTTTTCCT